AGTATATGCAGGCGATTTTTCCATAAACATTTTTAATCTCTATGCCCCAGCGAACCAGCTTCGACCTGATGCTTTACCAGATTGCATCAATAGTGAACCTACCATCATTCTTGGAGATTTTAATGCCAGACATAAGAATATTGGTGGTCTATAACAAAACACCAATGGAACTAAACTAGTGAAATTGCTAAATGAGCATGATAATGTTCGAATTGTGGGCACTACTAAGCCTACTCACATATATGGTGGTATACTAGATCTGTGCCTTGGATTTAATACATCATATACGATGCATGACTGTCATAGTTGATGATCTTCTATCTGATCACTTCCCAAGACTAACAACTGTCAATCTTGATCACATCTCCAGCAATCAAGGAACTAAATACAGAAGGAGGAAACTTATTCTCAAACCAGAACACAGAGACAACTTTATTAACCACTTGGATCAATGGTATAAGAATTACGAGCCCATTGGCACACAAAAATTTAATGATGATTTAACCCTTTGAGGGTCGACAGGCCCTCTCCGAAACTCGTTCTCAGGGTCGGCCAAATTTAAAAAAAAAAAAAAAAATTATTTTCTCTTATGAAAAGATAGAGAATCTTTTCCCGATCATAAAGACACCAAAAGTTTGAAATTTGATAGAAAACTTACGGAATTATGCTCTCGCAAAGTTAGCGGTCTCGGCGATGTTTACGCATCGGCGATTTTGCCCACTTTGAGCCCCATTTTCGGCCAATTTCACTGTACTAGTCGACAAAAAACATGAATAATTTCGCTAGAACTCCATTTTTTCTATCGAATGGGTGCAAGAAAACCACTCATTTATGAAATTCAACTATCCAGTACAGTGGTCAGAATTTAGCAATTTTGCCAATTTCACACAAATTTCAAAAGATGCCAATTTCCGAATAGGGTCCAGAATAAACAAGAAAGACATTCCTGGCACTAAATGATATTTCCTCTTGGTCATTAGTCACGTCTCAAGGCCTCTTATATTCTTTTGCTTTCCACTTTGAATTTTTATTCTCACAAAAAATAGAAGATTTACTGTTATGCAGACTACTGCATTAGTGTAAAAAATGGTATAAATATTATTGGTGCACTTGAGAAAGAATATTAGACTCACCAGTTGACGTGTATTGTACGCTTGGCACGATTTGTTTACTTTTGAAATTTGGTAAAAATCGAACATTTCTGCTACTTTGAGCTCAATTTCAAGGCACCTTTCTTTGTAAAACCAGTCAAAATCATCTCAATTTCTGTAATATGTCTTCCATTCTATAAAATGACACCAAGAAAACTAGAATACAACAATAAATACCATACGAAAATACACTGCAAAATCGCTGATTTATTAAAAAAAAATGGTAAAATTTTTTTTTTCTCATTATGTACTGTGTGCTGCAGGATTTTTTTTAGACTGTGCACACTGACCACATAGACCCATTCTTTCATATGAAGGCCTACCAGCTTTCTCCCACTAGATTTGAGGCCGCTAGAATTTATGAGTACTAGTACGTCAAAAACCCCTACGCGTAAGACGTACTAGTACGACGAAAACCCTCAAAGGGTTAATTACCACTATTGAGTGTGTTCTCACAGATCAAGTGGGCAGAAATAGGAAACAAAGACCCTCCACTATAAATAACAATAAAAACCAATGTAAATACTATAATGATCCACAGCTACGCAATCTAACACATGACGCTAGAGGATTGGTAAAGCATACCGTGAATGTAGAACCCCAGACCTGCTCAGAATGTTCCAAGCTGCACTAACGAATGCAAGGAATAAAAAAGCAAGAAACTTAGGCAACAGGAAGGGGAACAGTTTTTTAGTGGATTAAATAGGTCCACCCCTTTAAGTTTGCCTTGGAAAGGTATAAATATAATAACCAGGAAAAAGACTGGCAATGTTGCTCATCCCTTTCCTCTTGAAAAAGCAAATGACCTCATAAATGACTGGTCAAAACATCCGGGCATGAAAATTCCATCTCATATTAGAAAAAATTTAGAGAGTACTTCTGAAGAAATGTTGAAACTGATTAATTTATGAGCCAAAATTTTGATGCGAGTGATTGCCTCTTTACCGAGTATAAATTAGATAATGCATTAACAAAAAGGTCGATCAACTGCCCTGGAGAGGATGGTATAACCTATGATATTCTCAGAACTCTAAGGCACGTGCCTGATAACCCTTTGTTGCACTGTATAATCTCAGTTACATTGAGGGCGTTCTTCCAAACTTCCTGGACCAATAGTCTCATTGTGCCTATCCCTAAGCCCCAACAGCCTGATACATTTAGGCCGATCTCCTTACTAGTTGTCTTTGTAAAACTTTGAAAGAATGATACTTAACAGACTGTATACAGAATCCAGACACCAACTTTCCCCTACCTCTATGGGTTCATGAAAGGTAAAAGTGGCAGAACTGTATTTCCACCTTTCACTGCACACACCTTACTATTTTTACCACTTTTCTTGATCAAAAATCTGCATTTGATTTTGTAAACAGAACCGTTTTACTACTTTGAACTAGCCAAATGAATATGGTGTAGCTTACTCGCTGGATAATAGGATACCTGTCAAATAGAGTATCCTCTGTCCCTTTACCAAGGCTTCAGAAGTGATTCTAAAGAAATGTCTTTAGGTTACACTGCAGGGAGGAGTTCTTAGTCCCATGCTATTTAATATTCTGATTAAATGCTCTCCTAAATGCTCTACCTGCCTCACCTAAACATATAGCTATAAGCTATGCTGATGATATCATGATCCATACAAACAGGGCATAAGAAGATGATACCATTCTTAATGAAGTTCAAGAAATTTTTGTAATCGACTAGGCCCCCATAATTTTCTTCCTCAAAAACAAAGATATTAACAAGCAAACGACATCCCCCACCCATCTATTTGCAGGGTGAAATCATTAGCTACGTTAAAACTTACAGTTTATCTTGGTGTAGTTTGTACCCTTTAAAAAATTTCCACTATACCAAAAACTAAACAAGAAATGCAAAGCTAGGCTAAATGCTCTTAAAGCTGTTGCTGGCTCAACTCCAACTATGGTGCTAATGTGAATTGTGAGAATGATGTACATAGCCTATGTTAGGTCCTTAATTGATTATGCTGCTCCCATGTTGACATTAGCTAGAAAAAAGTTCTCTCCGACCCTTGGAGTTAATGCAAAATGAAGCTCTCAGGATTAATTCTTGGCTGTCCCAGATCTACAAAAGTTCTTAACATGAGGAAGGAGCTTGGTATTTCTAGTATCAGTGATAGGATTATTGAGTTTAACACTGTACTCGGTATTAGAATGTTGAAAACGAACCAGACACTGTCACAATGATCTTACCAAGTGTCTAGAGGTAAAAAACACACAGATCTAAAGGATTGTGAAAAAGTGCAATTACATCAAGTTTTATAACCTGCATGAAATTGTATCACTGTAGGCAACAAGAGCATTTCACCCCTCCGTGGAAGATATGTTCATTTAAAAATCACATCCCTGCAAGTCCCTCCCAAGAAGCTCAATGCAGTAATCCCTTCCTTAAATCTCTTGTTAGAGCAACTGCTCAAGAAGAAATTTCTCACCTAGCTGGTAGTAATAAGTTATCACAAGTTATATACACTGATGGATCTAAACAGGAGTCTTCTGGCAGGGCTGCATCTGCTCTTGTTGCCACCTCCCTAGTTAAGAATGATAATAAATTTGTTGAGTTAGGCATAAGAATTAACAACTGAGCGTCTACACTGCAAACTGAATTGTTTGCAATCCTAATGGTGCAAAGCAAAACCTAGGGGACACTGAGCTTGACTCTATCATCATTACTGATTCTATGTCATCATTGAAGGCTCTTAACTCACATAATGGCTCTAACAACATGCTCATTGGAGAAGCCAGGTAGAGATACTCAAAAATTAGGGACAAAGGAATTAATGTACAATTGCTATGGATCCCATCACACATTGGATTACTCCTTCATGATAAAGTTGATATGTTAGCCAAGAAGAGTACCCAGAAGGAGAATGTAGGATATAACTTTGGTATAACTGTGTCTAGCATTAGGAATAATATTAGGAGAGAAGTAAATAATGAAAATGATTGTTATAGGAATGCAGATAAAAGCCTGAGTAGATCTATAACTCACTATGATAACATGAACATAGATAAGTATGTTTATGGAGCAACTTGCAATGTGAACAGACTGACTGATGTTGTAGTGGCCAGGCTTAGGCTTAGTTACAAGTACTTCTGGAAGTTTGGGAGACACACAGATGATGATCAAACTAAATGTAAATTATGTGATAAGGCATATGGTAACTCTCTTGAACACTATGTGCTTAATTGTCCACTTATTGAGGAATACAGAGACAGACAGTATAATAACCTATGTGACATGTCAAGATATCTTATTAATGAAAATAAGATACCAGATATACTAAGCAAATTTCCTAAATTTGCTTGTAACAGATAAGTGAACTATAGGTATGTAGATATAAATCCATATGTATTCCTGTTAACCCTTTGGGGCCTAGTTCCTAGGCCTTTTGTGTATCCATATGCTCTCGCGCTACCGTCCACAGGATGGATATGGGGTGCACAATAAACTAGCCACTTCGGTGGCAAAATCTAATCTAATCTAATCTAGACCTTTTAGCAGTTCACCTGTCAACTGAATTAACCTATCAACAGACACTCTTCCTGCTACATCTTCCTCATTTTCATCACTGCTTTCTCCTCCAATGGCTTGCTACTGTGGATTTACAACCATCTGCACAATTTCTGAATCAGTATAATGATGAAATTTGAGTCAGTATAATAATGAAATTTGAGTCAGTATAATGATGAAATCTGAAATTATGCTAGCTGAAATTAGTGCTGGATTACTGATGGAACCGGATAACCGATTGCCGAATTAGTGATGGCCGACCTGTAGTAGTAGTAATAATAATAATAAATGCTCTTCATATCCAAGAAATGAATGCAAACTTACTCCTGATACTCACCAATTGTAAAAATGTTTAATACCGTTCCCTGAAAGAGAAAATCAATTTGTCTTAGTTATTCAAGAAAATTTAACTTTACATACACAGTATACTTTTAAATATTAGAAAAAACACTTAGCTGTACCTGCACAACAGATTTTTTTTTTTTTTTAACTTGACAGCAATCTCCCATCAAAGTACAGTGACCAAAGAAAAAAAATTTCACCAACATACACTCAATGACTTTCTGGAAAAGTGCTGACACAATCAGCAATCCCCACTCTTTCAGAGTGCAGACACTGCCCTTCCCAACTTCACGTTTAGAAAATCCCAAAAAGGATATCATCATCCTAAAGATTATTATTAACACACTGGCCAATTCCCACTAAGGCAGGGTGGCCTGAAAAAGAAAAACTTTCACCATCATTCACTCCATCACTGTCTTGCCAGAAGGGTGCTTTACACTACAGTTTTTAAACTGCAACATTAACACCCCTCCTTCAGAGTGCAGGCACTGTACTTCCCATCTCCAGGACTCAAGTCCGGCCTGCCGGTTTCCCTGAACCCCTTCATAAATGTTACTTTGCTCACACTCCAACAGCACGTCAAGTATTAAAAACATTTGTCTCCATTCACTCCTATCAAACACGCTCATGCATGCCTGCTGGAAGTCCAAGCCCCTTTACCCCCTCCCTCCAACCTTTCCTAGGCCGACCCCTACCCTGCCTTCCTTCCATTACAGACTGATACACTTTTGAAGTCATTCTGTTTCGCTCCATTCTCTCTACATGTCTGAACCACCTCAACAACCCTTCCTCAGCCCTCTGGACAACAGTTTTGGTAATCCCGCACCTCCTCCTAACTTCCAAACTACGAATTCTCTGCATTATATTCACACCACACATTGCCCTCAGACATGACATCTCAAATGCTTCCAGCCTTCTCCTCGCTACAACATTCATCACCCATGCTTAACACCCATACAAGAGTGTTGGCAAAACTATACTCTCATACATTCCCCTCTTTGCCTCCAAGGACAAAGTTCTTTGTCTCCACAGATCCTAAGTGCATCGCTCACCCTTTTTCCCTCATCAATTCTATGATTCACCCATCTTTCATAGACCCATCCGCGACACTCCACTCCCAAATATCTGAATACATTCACCTCCTCCATACTCTCTCCCTCCAATCTGATATCCAATCTTTATCACCTAATCTTTTTGTTATCCTCATAACCTTACTCTTTCCCGTATTCACTTTTAATTTTTTTCTTTTGCTACCCTACCAAATTCATCCACCATCCTCTGCAACTTCTCTTCAGAATTCCCCAAGAGACAGTGTCATCAGCAAAGAGCAAAATGTGACAACTCCCACTTTATGTGCGATTCTTTATCTTTTAACTCCATGCCTCTTGCCAAGACCCTCGCATTTACTTCTCTTACAACCCCATCTATAAATATATTAAACAACCACGGTGACATCACACATCCTGTCCTAAGCCTACTTTTACTGGGAAATAATCTCCCTCTTTCCTAAAATACTTAACTTGAGCCTCACTATCCTCGTAAAAACTCTTCACTGCTTTCAGTAACCTACCTCCTACACCATACACCTGCAACATCTGCCACATTGCCCCCCTATCCACCCTGTCATACACCTTTTCGAAATCCATAAATGCCACAAAACCTCTTTACCTGATCTAAATACTGTTCACTTATATGTTTTTACTGTAAACACCTGGTCCACACACCCCCTACCTTTCCTAAAGCCTCCTTGTTCATCTGCTATCCTATTCTCCGTCTTACTCTCAATTCTTTCAATAATAACTACCATACACTTTACCAGGTATACTCAACAGACTTATCCCCCTATAATTTTTGCACTCTCTTTTGTCCCCTTTGCCTTTATACAAAGGAACTATGCATGCTCTCTGCCAATCCCTAGGTACCTTACCCTCTTCCATACATTTATTAAATAATTGCACCAACCACTCCAAAACTATATCCCCACCTGCTTTTAACATTTCTATCTTTATCCCATCAATCCCGGCTGCCTTACCCCCTTTCCTAAAGATATTACTAAATAATAAAAAAATTTTTAATGGAGTGTATAAATGGTTATGTATCTTCTAATAAAGGCTAATGATGTCTAAACTGTGGTACCAGCAGTGTCTGGCAAGACAGTGATAGTGTGAATGATGGTGAACGTGCTTTTTTCGTCAGTGTGGCAGACAGCTATGAGTAAAAATTATTTGCCACAAGATAACTTTACAGATGTTGTTTTACAATGGAATTTTGTTACATACAAAAATTCTTAGTTATGCAATGCATTTCAGGCAATTAAACTTGAGGTATGTGACAATGATTAACTGAAAGTAGATTATGTGAATGCTAAATAAAAAAAAAAAAAAAAAAAAAAAAAAAAAAAAAAAATTAACGACTAATTTGTTTGAGGATGAGATTGACAATGCAATAACTGTTAAAAGTAATAAAACTTGGTTTATATATATAACAGGAATGTTAATGTGAGGGACACTGAGACAAAATAATATCAATAGTGTGAGTAATAAAGTTTTGTGAGGTTGGACACAGCTGAGAAAAGAAGTGTACTGGTAGTGTAATGGTATAAACAGTTTACTGGTATATACAAACAACCATCACCAACACCCACAAAAAAGCACAATTTTGTATGCCATGGTATAATAAATGAGCAGTAATGCAAACAAATAAATCAGTGAGTGAACAGAAGAGGGACCTGACCTCTCAATGCTTACATTCTTTCTTCTACTAGTGAACTACATCTCACCCTCTGACAGTATATAAGGCTCCATACTGTCACTTCAACTTCACACAGTTTCAGACTATGGAACAAATACTCTTCTCGAGGTTGACGGACTGACCACCTCAAAACTATGTCTTCAAGGCTGATGGACTGACTACACTGTCTTCACATCTCTACCGCGTCTACCAACTTTTCTGTACTCGACTGAAGAAGTCTACTGTGTAGATGAAAAGTTTCAGAATAAAGATACCTAACTGTTTTATATGTGTCTTACTTACAAACCTGTTCATACTTTATACCATTTTAATATTCAGAAAAAATATTGATGAAAATATTTTTTATAACCGTGTAAAAATAATAAACAAAAAAAGAATAGTACACAGATTGACAGGAGTAAAATGGGTAGACACATAAGAGGTGAAACACCTGAAAGCCAAACTGAACAAATTTAGGAAAAGGTAAAGAGAAAGTCAGGGAAATCTAGCATGTCTCTCTTTACCTTTACTTGCTTCTGTAACTAACTACAGTATAGTCTTGCTTAAACTGAAATGTAAGACTTTCAATACTAGTATTTGCAGTTACAATAAAGCTGGAGATATAGAATGATGGCTAAAGGTCTCGCTTCACACGGTGAGAGTCTGGGTTAGATTCCCAGCGAGGGTAGAAACCTTAAGCGTGTTTCTTTACAACGGTTGTCTATGTTCACCCATCAGTAAAATGGGTACCTGGGAGTCAGTCAACTGGTGTGGGTCACATCCTGGGACAAAACTGACCTAATTTGCCCGAAATGCTCTGCATAACAAGCGGCTTTCTATATATATTAGAATGTCATTGATGTCAGCTAGGCCTGTATACTTTGTACATGTACTTGTAGTTAATAAAGATTTTTTTTTTTTTAACAAGTCGGCTGTCTCCCACTGAGGCAAGGTGACCCAAAAAGAAAGAAAATCCCCATAAAGAAAATACTTTCATCATCATTATTCAACTTTCACCTCACTCGCACATAATCACTGTTTTTGCAGAGGTGCTCAGAACACAACAGCTTAGAAGCATATACGTATAAAGATACACAACATATCTCTCCAAACTGCCAATATCCCAAACCACTCATAAAGAGTACAGGCATTGTACTTCCCATTTCCAGGACTCGAGTCCGGCTATATAAAAATAACTGGTTTCCCTGAATCCCTTCACTAAATATTACCCTGCTCACACTCCAACAGATCGTCAGGTCCCAAATACCATTCGTCTCCATTCACTCCTATTGAACATGCTCACGCACGCCTGCTGGAAGTCCAAGCCCCTCTCCCACAAAACCTCCCTTACCCCTTCCTTCCAACCTTTTCGAGGACAACCCCCTACCCCGCCTTCCTTCCCCTCCAGATTTAAATGCTCTCCATGTCACTACTTTGATCCATTCTCTCTAAATGACCAAACCACCTCAACAACCCCTCTTCAGCCCTCTGACTAATACTTTTATTAACTCCACACCTTCTCTTAATTTCCACACTCCGAATTTTCTGCATAATATTTACACCACACACTGTCCTTAGACAGGACATCTCCACTGCCTCCAACCGCCTCCTCGCTGCTGCATTCACAACCCAAGCTTCACACCCATACAAAAGTGTTGGTACTACTGTACTTTCATACATTCCTTTTTGCCTCCATAGATAATGTTTTTTGTCTCCACATATACCTCAATGCACCACTCACCTTTTTTTCCTCATCAATTCTATGATTAACCTCATCCTTCGTAAATCCATCTGCCGACACATCAACTCCCAAGTATCTGAAAACATTCACTTCTTCCATACTCCTCCTTCCCAATTTAATATCCAATTTTTCTTTATCTAAATCATTTGATACCCTCATCACCTTACTCTTTTCTATGTTCACTTTCAACTTTCTACCTTTACACACACTCCGAAACTTGTCCTATTATTAATACAAGGCTTCATGAAAACTGGACTGCCACAGTAATTTTCTTTTCAACAAACCAGCCATTTCCCACAAAAGCAGGGTGACCCAATAAATAAGAAACAAAAGCTTTTCTTCTTTTCACATCTAGTAATGTATACAGGAGAAGGGGTTACTAGCCCCTTGCTCCCGGCATTTCAGTCCCCTCTTACAACATGCATGGCTTATGGAGGAAGAATTCTGCCACTAAATTACTTTTTAACATGCTGGCCATCTCCCACTGTGGTAGGGTGACCTGAAAAAAGAAACACTTTCACCATCATTCACACTATCACTGCCTTGCCAGAGGCATGCAGATATGACAGTACATAACTAGAAGAAAATACTGCAGGGTTGGGCAGCTTACAAGAAGCACTTACAATGACTGCAAAGACGAGCACTGTGCCCAGGTTATCGAAAAAGGCTCGGTCATGGAGGGAGTAGGCAGAGTCCAGGATAATACTGAGGGGGACAAGAGATTTATTAAAGAATAAAAAGGCAAAATACCGTGACTGGAACAATACACAAATAACCTGCACATAGGAGAAAGAAACTTTAACTATGTTTTGGACAAACTTGGACCACTGACTAGTCTCGCACACTAGTTAATAATCCAAGTCAGACCCAAACATCAACATAAGTATCTTTCTCCCATGTGCAGGTTATTTGTGTAGAGATTTATTAATGATACATTGATTTACAGCATATAATACAAATAATATTTCTTTTCTGCAGTATACAGGTAATGTAGTTTCCATATAATAAAATATTATAATAATTTACAAGCAGTAATGAATGTATCTACTATATTCTATTTACCATAAATTACAGGAGCTAAATGAATGCTCACAGAACAGCTCTAATCTGGTAGGGGCCTCACTGTTACAACTTGGACTACTCACGGTGGCAGAAGGACGAAGAAGAACTTATCAGAAGTGAAGTGTGGCAACTCGACCCTATTATTACATTTAGCTGCTGGGTCCACACCACTGCAAGAGAATAAAATGCATCAGTTGTCAAGTTTGTCTGTCGTATGTCTCCAGGATTAGTGCCAACCTATAGTTATTTAATAGCTGTCCCTTACATGATGCTCATGTCTGCTCATGTTTCAGTGAGGGTGCTTCGAGGATGATGGGCTACCTGCCTCTTCCTTGGACCAAACCTTATCACTTTCCAATACACGGGTAGTGTATGACCCATTAAGAGTTTACTATTTCCCCATGAATACAATAATAATAAAAATAATAATGATGGTAGGACTGCTGGTGTCTTGTCTGTCTCATAAATATGCAAGATTACAGGTACGTCTTGCTACTTCTACTTACACTTAGGTCACACTACACATACATGTACATGTTTATTTATACACACTCATCCGAGTTTTCTTTGATTTTATCTTAATAGTTCTTGGTCTTATTACTTTTCCTTTTATATTCATGGGGAAGTGGAATAAGAATCTTTCCTCCGTAAGCCATGCGTGTTGTAAAAGTCAACTAAAATGCCGGGAACAATGGGCTAGTAACCCCTTTTCCTGTAATAGTTACTAAAAACCTAGGTAGTAGGTTGGAAGACAGCAACCGCCCAGGGAGGTACTATCATCCTGCCAAGCGAGTGTAAAACGAAAGCCTGTAATTGTTTTACATGATGGTAGGATTGCTGGTGTCCCTTTTTCTGTCTCAAACATGCCAGATTTCAGGTACATCTTGCTACTTCTTACACTTAGGTCACACTACAATACATGTACAAGCACATATATACACACACCCCTCTGGGTTTTCTTCTATTTTCTTTCTAGTTCTTGTTCTTGTTTATTTCCTCTTACCTCCATGGGGAAGTGGAACAGAATTCTTCCTCCGTAAGCCATGCGTGTTGTAAGAGGCGACTAAAATGCCGGGAGCAAGGGGCTAGTAACCTCTTCTCCTGTATACATTACTGAATGTAAAAGGAGAAACTTTCGTTTTTCCTTTTGGGCCATCCCACCTCGGTGGGATGCAACCGGTTTGTTAAAAAAAAAAAAATTACTAAAAAGAATAATAATAAGAAAATTCTCAAAGAGGGAAGTCTGAATGTGCATGGATGTTGTGCAAATGATAAGAGATGATTGTGGATGTTATGAATGAGAAGAAGCTGGATGTCCTGGCTTTAAGTGAAACAAAGCTGAAGGGGGCAGGAGAGTTTCAGTGGAGAGGAATAAACAGGATTAGGTCAGGGGTTTCAAATAGAGTTAGAGCTAAAGAAGGAGTAGCAATAATGTTGAAGGATATGTTATGGCACGAAAAGAGGGACTATAAATGTATTAATTCAAGGATTATGTGGAGTAAAATAAAGGTTGGATGTGAAAAGTGGGTTGTAGCAAGTGTATATGCACCTGGAGAAGAGAGAAGTGTATAGAAAGAGAGAGAGAGAGAGAGAGAGATTTTGGAAGGAGGAAGGGGGAGGAAAAGGGGAAAAAAAGGGGGGATTTA